GTAGATGGTTATTTAGCAAATAATTGAAACGAACAAGGTTTTACTCGTAGAGATAGCCGTAAAAATTTAACATATTTTATGGTAACAATATATTATTTCACAACCTAGTTATAGTAAAGAAATATAAAATAAACAATTAAGATATTTGGCCACGTGCATCCCAATTAGTATAAGTAATACAAAAAATAATTATCTTTTACCTCAATTAGCCTATCCCAAACCTCAGATTCTGCACTCCACATATTTGTGTGTTCCGCTTACAAGTAAAACTACTCTGAACAGACTTAAACAAATCATAACAAATTGTATATTTTGACTTCATATACTTCATATGATTCTTCACTTTTTTCTTGTCAAATGGCTTATTAGGAAAGCTTACTTTGAGTTTGGCCACAATTCATTGTAAGCTGTTGATATAAAATTCTCGTCAACTAGATTCCCCAGTACATGTTGATGTAAGTAAGCAACAATTAGCTTATCTTCCATATTAGGAGTCCATATCAAAGTATCAACGTTCCTTTCTCAAGAAGAATCACCTTCCACATTCCTCCTCTCGACATCCTTTAATTCACAAATAATATTAGAAGGAATTAAAAAAATTATTCACAATTTAACTATTGAAAATTATAAATGAGAGATGATATGAAGATCACGAAAAATAAACCAATATTAATGCTTCCAAAATATATGATTAAAACGACATTAGTCTAATAATTATCAAGTACAACACAAATGAAGATTATAGCCCAAATAGAGAGTACAAATCAAACAAATAATGAGCATGACCAAAATTAATCATTGATTGTAATCTTGCCACACAGCAGTTGCAATGCCATCTCTTTTCCACTCCTCTCTACGATCATCTTAATCATCATGTACATCATCCTCTTCTAATGGAGTTTCATCATGTTCCTCTTCCCCTTTTAGAAAATCATTTGGATCGACACCCCTTAAAAAATTATGCAAAATGCAACAAGCTAAAATGATCTTGTTTTGTATCTGAGCACCATAGTTTGATTAATTTAAACTTGTTATAATGAGATATCTTTTTTTAAGACACCAAATGCTCTTTCAATGGCATTGCGAAGCAAGGTTTTAAATATCGGCCGATAATCCGATATTATCCCTGAGTTATCGGTTTTGAGAGCTTTCCGATAGGACAAGTTGGAATTTAAATCGGTTATCTTTTTTTAGGGTTTATCGGCAATAATGCGACGATAAAGGTGATTATCGGCCGATATTAGCAGCTCTAAAATCGAAATTATCGGGTCACACTATTAGGTTGTGATTTTGGGTAATGGACAGTTTTTGAGTGAACTTGAAACCCGACACGACCCGTTCTTTACAATAAAACTTAAACTCGATTAAATAGCCCTAATCCTCTGTTCTCTCTCCCCTCATTTGTGCGGTTGTGCCCACTGTCCTAATCATCTGACTATTTCTTTTTGGACTCCATCGACCTTGACGCTCGCCTCCGCCGACTTCGACGCTCGCCTCCGCTCTTCTTTGGACTCCGTTGACCTCAACGCTATCAACTTCGACGCTGCTCTCTCATCAACATTAACTTCATCGACTTGACGACTTCGACTGATGTTGTGCTCTCTCCATCGACGCCATCATCAACTGATCTGATTGACTCGACGACGTTGAACGATACTGAGCTCTCCATCGATGCCGAGCTCTCTCCATCGATGCCATCAACTGTGACTTCGAAAGTTTGACTTGGACTCTCCATTGACGCCACGCCCTCAACACAACTTCTGAAGTTGTAGTAACAAATAATATTCACCATTTAGTTGTTTTTTTCTCTAGTTATTTAGTGAAGGTTGAGAGAATGAAAGAGTGGAGTATGGTTAGATTACAATTTGGGGTATTATATTATATATACACAACATACGGTATATCACTCCGATAAATACTACTTATCCCCGATATATCCCCGATTTCCACTATCCGATAAGGAAATTGACCGTCCGATAAATCCCCGATAACCGATATTTAAAACCTTGTTGCGAAGCGATGCATGTCTTAGGCTAAATAATTCGCATTGAGTTTTTTGGTGGATTTCTTGAATACTTATTCAAATGATAGTGTTCCCTGTCTATAAGGTGGAAGTAACTCACTTCATAACATGCATCTGGCATCAACAAGACACAACTTTAGACTTTTTATTAGCTCATAATTACCTTGAAGGATCTAAAGTGGAAATTGTCTTCGTAAATCATTTTTAATTATTCTGGAATCAGATGTAGTTGCTTCCCATTTAGGCAAAATATAAGTGAATTTTAAGTCAAAGGTGCATGCCGCCAACACATTTTGTGTGGAATAGTCTTTCCTACCATGATATCTAGGGTCATCGGCAATAGAAACTTTTACTCAGATATGTGTGCCCTCAATTGCCCCAACACAATCCTGATATCATAGACATTAATTAAAATCTAATACATAACAACCTATATAAAGATTAGAAGTGAAGGAAGTTATCATCACCTTGAAATAGGGATGGAACTTTGGATTAATATCTCTGAAGGATCTCATGATCTATCAGGTTGTCCAAAAAACATCTCTTCCAACTTTATCATAGCTCTTAAAACATTATCAAATGACGATTCAATACTCTTTCCAAATTGACCAAATATCTTACTAACTTCACAAGTTGTTACATATATAAAATTTTTACAACTTGTTCTTCAATAGTAACCCTTCGAGTTGGTAAGCCCACTGTTCCTCTCTAATATTCCACACAATTGATTAAAGGCCGGTGGATTCATTTGGATTGTTTCCCGACATATAACTCTTTGAGATATTATTTCATGCACAACATCTTTTACCTCTTTAGGTTCTTGAGGTTCAATATTTAATCTCCTAATCCTTTCTCTTCGGCACATAAACCAATAAACAAAATGCAAATAGCATATCTGATTGCAATAGTACATGTTTGTTGAAATTAGATCCACACATCCATTATTTGTTCAATAAGTTAAAAGAATTTACAACTAAGACAAGGAGTTAAAAAAATTATAAGTTTATTATAAACACACTTATATATTTACATAATTTATTTTTTTATGCTAATATGATTTGGACACATTTAACACCTACCACAACAATTAAAATTAATAGAAAATTGTATTTGTTATGAATTGCCAATGACAGGAGCGAATACAATTCTATATTCTCCATTTTAATTTTCACAAAAATATGTGAATGTAAGTCCCACAAGTTTCTGAAAGAGGTTCCACCCATTACATGAAGTAAATAGAAAAAGGTGAGATTTCAAATACAATTACTCAAAATAGAAGAGATACAATTCAGTAATGTAAGTTAAAGTAGTAGTAAAGTAACAATTTTCTTGAAAGATTAGCACTTCCTTAGTTTTACAATTTCAGGTGTCAAAAGTATCTTCTTGAATACAATAAACCTTAATTTATAAAACGATAAATTTATTCAATTTTATATATGTATGATTAATTAGGCAGCTCCAGTTGGCTTTCAATCAGAAAATGGCAATGAGGACTAATTCCATGGAGGACATGATCTTTAAGAAAGTAAGGAGGCCAACAAGATCATATATTTCTGATGTCAGGGAGACAATTAGTGCAGGAAATGGCAACGTAATGCCAATCAAAGAATTTTATGATAAAAAATCAATGAGATTTCAAGGGTTTCTAAAAAATATAAATTGGCCGACAGACAGATGACAACTAAGGCGCTGACGGCAGATGAGAGAACAGCGGCGGGCAAAGAAATAATAGTGGTTGAAGGATTGATGTGGGCAGTGTGGATGCAGTCACTACGCAAGGAAAGAATGACAAAGGAAAGAGAACGAGTGGAGTGTTTTATTCCGTTCCGTAGGGTTCGTGAGAATTTTACTCAACTGTTGGATTAGATCTTAATAGAGGGGTAAATTTGTCTCTCCATCAATTCTTTTTTTAGCAGTTCTCTTCACCCTGGTTACACTCCAATTTGTGGAGGAACAGAATATTGGA